CTTAGTAATGAATTTATTAACGATTTCCAACATAAATTAAATTGGTATAAAATTTGGAAAAACGAACGTTTCTCCTCCGATTTTATACAAAGGTATGTTCAACGAGTTAATTGGGACAATGTTTGTCGTTATCAACAGCTATCAGATAACTTTTTGACTCAATATCATGATCGTCTAAACTGGGATCTTGTGTCTCAATATCAAAGGCTGAGTCAAAATTTCATATTAACTTATAAACATTTCCTCAATATGAAGCTTATTTGTAAATATCAACAATTGCAAGAAGAAATTATTAGAGAACCTGAAAACGTTGTAGATTGGGACCTTATTTCAAAGCATCAAGAATTATCCAAAAATTTTATGGAAGATTACAAGCATAAACTTAATTGGTGTATCGTCATTGCTAATCAGAAGCATTTATCAAACAAATTTGTATCAAAATACTTATCCTTTTATGCTGGTTTATGTTTTATTGAAAAAATGTGAAAACTTATAATTTTTTAATCTGTTTTCTAAAATAGTTTTAACAAAATCTTTATTTTTTAAATATAATTAATAAAATTTATACTTATGTTTTTTGTATAATCTTCAAATTCATAAACTGTAAAGTTAATATATCGTTATAACCTTTATTCTTTATTCCAATAAAAGAGAGAGAGAAAATTGTTGTCATTTATTTAATCACCATCGTGACACCAAAAACTAGGGAGTATTAAACGCAATAAATGCTGTAAAATAATCATTATATAACAAAATAGCAAATAGCATGATCCATTTAGTGGCTATACATGTTATTTCTTTTTAACATCTAATTTCGAAAAATAAAATATATTAAAATTTTAAAAAAATGTTATTTAATATATTTGTTGCCAGATGGCACCACGATGATCACTTGCATTTAAAAAAAAATATTACTTCTGTAATCACTTGTATAAGAAAATAAATATTAGTTCTCTTAGATAAAGAAAAAATTTAATATAGAACAGTTAAAAAAACAATGTTTGCAATTATTATTAAAATATAAAACATTAATATTTTGGAATCTAACAATTGTTTTTTGAAGCATTGCCTCTATACTGCCGTTATTAAACCATTTACAAAATCTTTAGTCTTGCCATTATAAACGTCTAAAATATTAGGTTCTTATACCATTTACAATATCTTTAGTCTTGCCGTCTAAAAGAAACATCTTATAATGTAGCAATTTATTCCAGAAATGCTTGTTCAAATCGTGCGAAAAAATGTAAACGAAGGGGCATCGAAAATGGGTGTGGTTTCCACTCCTATGAGTGTTTCTGGGATAGTAATTCTCTCAGATTCTCTCGAGAAATTTTGAAATTATGCCAGATTTTTGCCCCTGCTCGATGTCTTTCTCTCAAAATGATGAGTTTCTGAGATAAAAGTTAAAAACCTTTAAAAGTTTAACAAATTATCTCAGATTCTCTCACATATATACTACTTTAATATATATATTACTCAATATATTTTAAAATAAATTTGATTTCAACTCTCAAAATCATCGGAATGGTAAGTGTTTAATTAATTTTATTTAAAATAATTTATTTTGAATGAAATATATGATATAGGTGTTATAATTGTTATCAAAACATTTGAAATACAAGATCAATTCCTACCTTGCAATATATTAGTGAGAGAGCTGGGTTATGTTGCACGACACGAGGACTCATTCAGAAAAATTAATTTTTTTAATAAATATATTACTTTTTGAAAATTATCTGCCAGGGATAAATATGGGGTTAAAATTGGGAATTATTTAGGTATATTTTTAGTGTGTAAAAAACAAAAGTTCAGTCAATGGGAAGAAAATTTTAATATTTTTGAAATTTTATATAATCTTTACAAAAACTATGAAATCATTTATTTTGGGGATGAAATTGTAGAAAACTTTATAAAAATAACATCAAAATTATATAATGCTCAAATTCCCTATTATAATATTGAAAAATCAGGGGTTCCAGACATTTTCTTTTCCCAAAAAGTTCTGTGCACTGTGCCATCATACAAAAATATTTCCCCATCAATGTCCTCCCAAAAATTGGGAAAATTTGCAAAATACATGGGATGGATCACAAACATCAGTGTTGTCCACCAAATCCTGCAATGCTTGGGAAAATATGTATCAAACATACCAAGTTTGCAGGTAATTGCTGCAGATGTAAAGTACTTTCATATAAAAATTATATAAATGAACTAGGTAAATATGATAATCTGGCGGGTCTCCCAATCTGAGTTACATATTTTCACCCTAAATAAACCTAAATAAATACTTTAAGTTAAATTTTACTTAATTAAACTTTTTATCACTTTTTAAATATTTTAATATAACCTAAAAAGGTTACAAAACTTCAACATCCTGCAAATAGACACCATAACACAACATTTAGCAAGAAATGAGGATGTTTTGCTTCCTTCACACCTCTTATCTTAGAATTTTTCCCAACACCTCATCAAATGACACGACGACTCATCGTCAGATGATGTTTTCTGAATACATTCATTAGTAAGAAAACTGAATAAAAAGGCTGATTTCTCTTCTCAAGGGGAGGTGTTCCTGATTTCACCACTTTGCCCGTCCCCAGTCTCTCCGTTGGAAGCTTGGACTCAGAAATCCTCCTAGATTACCAACATCCAACATGTCCAACGAGGTAAAAGTTTGTTTGTAAACTCTCTCTCTCGGTTAAAGTAATATAGCCCCTAGAATAGCCTTAGGAGATAAGTCATGTCTTTCCCATATTCGCAGTATTCATTGGTATTTTTATTAGTTACTTGTAGTGTTGTTCATTCTGATTAAACTGTTGATTTTATACTAAATGACCTTCTTGTCTGGTTTATTGACTATGCACAACCCCACACAGAATCTTACCACTCAGGTTCTGTTAGAATAAGCCATCCAGTGACAAAGTGAGCAGATCCTTCAGATCTGACGATTAGAGAGCCTTGAACCTCATCCGTATTCTCACAAATATATTTTTAATTCTTATTTTAAAATTGCCTTTTATTTATACATGATTTATATTTATACAATTTTTTTATGTACAGGTTTATACTTAGTATAAAAATATTTTCCTCCCAAAAATTTAAAAATACACTGGATGGATCACTGACATCAGCGTCTGGGGGGAAAATATGTACCAGGCATACCAAGTTTGCAGATAATCGCTTTCATATAAATGAACTAAGTAAATATATTTTTAATTATTATTTAAAAATTTATACTTACTTTGAACATTTATACATTTGGTGATATAATTTCATACAAAAATTATACAAATGAGCTAATTATGTAAAATTTATATTTATAATTATCAATATTGGAATCAGATGGAAAACTTGCCAAGTGTTGGTTAAATGATCACTTCATCGTGCCAGTATACAATACAAACAACAATACAGTTTCGATAACAACAAAAATTATCAATATTGTTATTTCAACAAGCTTTTTAAAGAATTTTATTATAATTTCATGTTTTTGAAAAATAAATTCATTGTAATAAAATTTATCCCTTGTACTTAATTTTATATAAAAATTACAAACAGAAATATCCACAAAAAATTATAAGTTAAAAACTCTTTGATTTCAACTAATATTCATAAAAAATTCAAAGTTATAAAACTAATTTTAATGTTTCCTTAGATAAATTTGTCAAGGTTTCAGAATTTAAATTACACTACCAGAAAGTTTGAATTCTTTCAGTATGTCAACTTTCTAATATTAACTGATACAATCTGGTTAAAGCAATTAATTATTTCATTTAAAATTGTGTCAGACTTTGAAATATATATATAAGTAGTATACATATGACACGTCCCAATCACAAAATTCGTTTGACACGTACTAATCACAAAAATTAATTTATTTTTAAAAATTGTTTCATATAAATTTTAATCACAAAATTAAATTGTATTTTTGTTTCAAATAAGTTACAGTTTTATTACAATTTGAAATAATAATATTTTTAAGTAAATTAAATTTTAATATTTGTTAAAGTGAGTGGTAATTTAAAAAATAATATAACATTGAAATTATTTTAATTTTTCTTTTATTAACAATACAGTTATACAAGCATTTCCACTTTTTCCTTCAATTTCTTTATAGTAATGCATATTTCTCCCATTAAATACAAGAATAAGTTCTGACGATTGTCAACGATATATTCCCTATCTAATTTTTGATATTTTATAATGTAACACCAAAAAAGTTGATTTTGGAATTCATCAATAAATTGTTCGTCAAGTTTTTGATAACGAGAAACAAATTCCCAGTTTAGGTGATTATGTATTTGGCGTAAAGTTGAGGTTTTTAATTGTTGGTGTTTTAAAATTTTTTTTATATCAAATTTATGTATGAAAAGGGTAATGAAATTATCCGAAAGATGTTGGTATTCCGCGATTTTATTCCAATCAAGATGATCCTGAAATCTTATTAGGAATTCTTCATCTAAATTTTGATATTGACAAATTAAATCCCATTTTGCATATTTCATATTTTGCATAATAAATAAGGTTGAAAAATTGTAATTTTTCCATATGTGTTCCCAATTTAAGTCCTTCGCGAATTCTGAAATAAACGCTTCGCTTAAATCGTGTCTTCGACTGATCGTATCCCAATTAACATAATTTTGAAATTTTCGAATAGTTGTTTCTTCTATTGGTGCAGACGAGAAAGCTTCCCAGTCGATTGGGGTGAGTGTTTTGTCTATAAAAAACAAACATTTTTTTTTTTTTAAATTATTTGCTGCTTTATTATTATTATTATTATTGAGTACATAATATTGGATTACATATTATTAAAAAATGAGTACATTAAGTAAAAAATAATTGAGTACATAATACTTGGATTACATATTATTTAAAAATGAGTACATCAAGTAAAAAATAATTGAGTACATAATACTTGGATTACATATTATTTAAAAATAAGGATTATTTGAGTACATCAAGTAAAAAATAATTGAGTACATAATACTTGGATTACATATTATTTAAAAATAAGGATTATTTGAGTACATCAAGTAAAAAATAATTGAGTACATAATACTTGGATTACATATTATTAAAAATAAGGATTATTTGAGTACATTTTTTGAGAAAAAGTTAATTTTCCCCACAATCTCCAAAATCTTCTTTTTCGTTACAATCTATTATCTTTTGAGTTAGATCAATGCAATCATCATCATCATCTTCTTTTTCATGAGTATCTTCGTCACAGTTAAAATCGTCTTCTTTTTTATGAGTATCTTCATCACAGTTAAAATCATCTTCTTCTTCTTTTTCATGAGATAAGGTAATTTCATCATCATTTTCAGTAATGTCGCTTTCATCATCTTCTTTTTCAGAATCTTCAAAATTTTCAAAACCAATTTTACTACAATCCCCAAATCCTTTTTCGTTTCGGTCGGTTGCGTTTAATGAAGTTTTTTCTATTAAACTGGGATGCATTATTAGTTCAAAAATTATTTGTGCAATGGCCCATCCTTTTTCGAAAATGATAATTTCTGATCCATAATTATACATAATAATACCGATATTTCCACGGTAGTCAAAGTCAATAACTCCTGCATTGATCATGATATTGTTTAACGAAATGGAAGATTTTGGAGCTATTCTAGCATAACAGTTCATTGGGATTTCCAGGGCTATATCGGTGAAAATTACTTTTTGTTCATGGGGGTTTATTTGAAAGTTCTCAGTACAAAATATATCGTATCCGGCTGCACCCAAAGAAGCCTTTTTTGGACATATAACTGTATCGGATAATCTTTTAAAATAAACAATTTCTAGAAAATATAAAATATTTAATTATTATTACATTTCATACAATCACATTTTATAAAATATTTATTAAATATAGGCATTATTATTTTATTTTTTATTACGAAAAATTTACATTCATATAGTTTATTATTTGGAAATTTTAATAATGCTGCTTCCCTATACGTTTGTTTTAAACACGAATAAGTTCTACTACAAATGCTATGTATTACATAAGTAGTTTTCCTTTTGTAAACTATTAAAAAACCATATTGTGATGATGATATCGGAATATCTGTAAGAATTAAAAGTAGAAATTGTAATGACCGAACGATAGTACATCTATTCCATTATCTAAAATGAATTTTTTATCATAAAATGGAGAAAGAGAAATTTTATTTTGTAGATATGTTGTTACTACATGATTTTTACTTTTAATTCCGTATTGCTGCTGCCTGAATAGTTCTGTATTAAATAAAACTTCTTTATATTTATCGTGATTAAATGTTTTTACAACAGATTTTTTTACCCCCTTAGCAGTTTTTTTATTTTGTTTATCAAAAATATAAGAATACATTTTTGGTTTTAAAGAGCAAAATTCAATTATCGGTTTCGATAGCGTTTCGTCTTTAAAATATCCTAATTTATTTTTGTTCGCTTCGTTATATAATTTGTGAGTTTTGGGATAATTACTAAAATCAAAGATATCAGGGAACGATTTAAAATCTTCGTAAACATCATTTGTATAAATTTGAAGTGTAAGAGAATCTGTGTCAGTATATAATAAATGCACATTTTCCCCGTACCTGTTTTTAAATATTTTATAAAATGTTTCGTAAATGTGCAATTTGCTTAA